GGTTGGCCAGTCAAAGGTGGCCCACATAGTAACCCTTTAACTGAATAACTTGTCTTATTATTTCACAGTTTCTTTTACAATGGCCACGATACGGCGTTCACAATGTCGCAACATGGTATTTTCTTGCCCTCGCTATGGGCAAGCCTACCCAGTTTACGACAACTCTTAAGTCAACCGACCCCCCTGCGTGCCAACCCCCCAACAAGCCAGTTTTCCCATACAAATTCAGTATAACGGCATAATGTAAAAATAAAAAAAAATATGACGAACTATATATTAATATAATAGTAAAAGCGTAATTTTTAAGCGTTAAAAATAATAAAGTTTTATTTTTAAATATTTTATATATTTAATTAAAAAAGATTTTAAAATGTTTTAATATTAACAGTTTTGTATATATTTTATATAGTAAAATGTTAATATAATAACTTTCAACTTTTTATATAAAATAAACTAGTAAAATAAAATTGTAAAATTTTATAAAAAATATTTAAATTTAAATTAGTCTTTATATTAAATAACCAAGTTAAAATAAACTTTTTTACTATTTTTTTCATCTTTATAATACTATGTTAACTTAGGGAGTTTTTGGGATTTTGTATGGGAAAAAGGTGGCTTGTTGGGGGGTTGGCACGCAGGGGGGTCGGTTGACTTACCAATATCGCATTGCCATTCTTTATCAGTTCGCTCCAGGCTTCCAAAAATAGTTGAATTTCATGCTCGGCTCCTCCATGGCGACCGTAGCTCAGTACGTGTGATCCGCACATGGTCTCCGCGTCCAAATGGCTCGCGATGCGAGGGGGAAGAGAACCGATGTGCGAATTCTTCCGAAATGATATATCTAGCCACGGCTCTATCTGCTCCCGTGTCGACAAATTCGCCGAACTTAACATATAGTCCAGCGGTTTTTTGTTGTAAAACTCCTAGCAGGAGTTCTGTCCCGCGCTAACTCCTTAGACGTCCGTGTTTTAGTGGCCAGCATTACCAGGTCTTAGCAGTCTTTATCCAACAAGCTGTTGGAAAAATATCAACAGGAATCGATCACTAATTACAGCTGTGGTTACAAATGCGCTTGCCCTCCTCCCACCGTTCTCGCATTGCTCACCGCGCGGCAAGTTCGGCATCCGTCAATACGCGTGAGGCAGCCGTGATATCCGCCAGCGTGACATGTCTCTGGGCCGCCGTTCCATAATAATCCGGCGTGGAGATGGTCCGTACGCCGCCAGCAGGCTTGATGACATCCGTGGCATTGCGATAGGCGCGGCCGAGTCCCCTACCCGCCAGCTGTTCCAAGGGCGGGAAATACGGCATCTCATTGGCCTCCGACTGGACTAACAGACACGTCTCGAACGCGACCTTCTCGAAGTCCGCGAAAAAGGCATCATATGCCGTATCCATGGCCTGCGTAAGCGACACAAGCCTCGTCTGACCGCCACTGGTCGTCGTCGGCTGCAGCAGGGACCAAGGGTCGCGACAGCTGTTCTGCTCGCACGACTTGGTCACCATGAGGAGCGCGTTCAGGCGGTTGACGAGCTGCGTCGAGTTCGCCTTGTGCGCGAGGTTCACGAGCTCGTACGGGTCTGCCGCTGTGTTGTACAGCTCCCTCTCCCCCGAGCACCACACCGTGTACACCCAGCTTTGCTGCGCGCCCAGGAGGCGGATTGTCTTGTACGTTGTGTTGGCGAAGGGAGAGCCTAGCTGCGCCGCGCTCGGGGCCTCGATCCCCGCTCGCCCCCAGTACTCGATGTTAATGCTCTCCTTGGAGTTACTTTGTCCGGCAGCTGCGCCAGCGGCGCTGACTGACTTGGGATCGTGCCATTGAGGTAACACGCTACGGCCATCGAAAAATACGGGCCGGTTGGCCTCGGGTACACCCGCTATGTCGAGGAATGTAGGCGCGAGGTCGATGTGCAAACTAGGAATGTCTGATGTCACATTTGCTGGGACGCCAGGGCCACGGACCACGAAAGGCAGGTTCGTGTCCTCGTTGTAGAAGAGCGATTTTCCTCCCGGCATCCTGTGCTGGCCAAGGTGATATCCATTGTCCGATGTGAAAACAACTGTGTGCACGCGTTAGTCTTCTGAGGGAAATGTGTAAGGAGATTGTGCACATTTCATGCTATCTTACTGTAAGTATTGTTGATGATACCCTTACTCTCGAGCATGCCTACAACGTCCGCGATGATCTCGTCTATTCCCGCCAAAGCTTGAATGCGAGATCTATAGACGAAGTCGGTGAAGTTGATGGCGGAGCTATTCATAGGTACCAAGTTCTTAACCCAGCCGCCGGCGTTGGCCTGGTATTCATCCGGCGGATTGTAGTTCGGCGTCTTAGGTGCTTTGGCATCCGGAAATAGCTCCAAATGCCGTTGCAACGGAATTGTTCTGTTTGAATCCAGATGAGTTAGTGGTGAGCCTTTAATTGTTGTTTGGGGGTTTTTACCTATGTGATGGCTTGTCCTGTTGGTAGCCAACGTGAGGCGTGAAAGGCGCTATGGCGAGGAAAAAAGGAGCAGATTGACTTGTGAGGTTATTCAGACGATCTAGCCTGGAGAACGCTAGTCAGTAAAGATATTTATACAAGTGAATGTTGCAAATAGATACTTACGCTTTAGTACGAATTATGTCAGTCTGGTGGAAGCCCTTATAAAAAATGGGTCGTTCGCCTAAGAAATATAAAGTCGTCAGCTACAGGAATAACTTATCTCTTTCAATGATATTTTGTAGACCGAAATAAGGTTAAGACAGATGCTAGCAGCTGGTGCGACATAAAAGAAGAGATCTACCGTTCTGGGAAAGAACCGGGAGGTTGAAGTCGTCGATATAAGGCTCAACCTGGAAGAGTAAGCTGAATCCTCGTTGTTCAGTTTTTAGAGCCGGTTTACAAGAAGGTCACTCCAGTCCCACCCTTTGGACTTTACGTTGTAGTTTGATATCCCATAACCATTCATAATTTTGCCAATATCTGAGCCCATTTCATTTAGCTATGAAGACCTCGTCTTGACCATAATAAAAGACTGACATTCGGTTCTGTAGCCGGCATCGTGAAGCCAGTGAGGCAAGTAGTTCTTATCCTGTCCAGAAAGAACCCATTTATTGTATGAACCTCTAGTTTGGTCGCGTATCAGCATATGTCCTCTAAATAATATTGTTATATCAGGGGTGATTTCTTTACCCTGGCGCAACTACATTGGTTAAATTTGTATTATCTGGCAGCTTAGTATTACTAAAACGATTGCTAAAACCGAAGTGATGATACTTACGAACAGTTTGGCCACGTAACAAAGTTGAACGACTTGGGCAGCATAATGCTTGGTTCGTGTAGTGATTCGTAAATTCAGTGCCTTTGGCGACCAGCTCTTGTTGAAGAATAGGCATGTAGTCCATGGACCCAAGGCGCCTATCTTGGTCATCGGTCATAATAAAGACGATATTTGGCTTTGCCGCAGCTGCACCGCCCATGCCCACAAGGGCGAAGTGGGTTAACACCACTACGAGTGGTATCATGATAATGGCGATGACGGTAAGAGCACAGCCGAATACGGCTGGCTTCCCCCGAAATAATGACCGCCATCTCGCCATGAGGTATTAGCAATGATTTTATAGACTCGGCGCGGTTATGTCTGCTGTCGGAATGAGCAATTCTCGTGCAATTGTTCGTACAAATAATTAATCACGTATTTCTGCAATAATATCGCGAATAGGAGGTGCGTTGAATTTTCCCCAAATCGCAGATCAATACCGATTTAACCTACCTTTGGCTGAACCAATGATTGGTTTCGGCTCGGGCGATTCCTTCCACTTCCGACCACCTCCATCACGTATGGAGTTGGGATGCACAGTATCAATGGTAACGACAACGGTAACTGCTAAATTCGGCAGATAGCCTGTGCATATCATCCCTGCTAGTATTGAAGTACGTCAACATAGACTAATTACTTCATTCGGCTGCATCGAGAATGGTCTCATCTACTTACCCGCTCACTCACTTACTCACAGGACATGAGGATCGTGCGGAGAACACTGCTTTGTCTTTTCGTTTAATTTTGAAAGTTCTGAGTCCTAGAGACGGCTTTTATCCGTATATTTCTCTTCGGTTAGTATTGAACATTTCAAGGATCTCGGCTTTAGCGATTCTCGCCTAAAGTGAGGATATGCGGTGTCCGGTTTATGGGAACAGTTTCTATGATCTAAATATGGCAATATGACCCCCAGTCCTAGTAGAGCCCGAAAGAAGAGCAGCCCAAGCATGTTCAAACTTACCTAAACAACGTGCACACCTCGGTTTGTGAATATATTGTCTTATGAGACCACCTTTCCGCGGTAATAGGTCGGTTGCGGGGCTACGAGTAACCAAGCTGACTTACAACCAGCAAAATAAAACTAGAGATAGTACACAATTGCCGAATTTTTAGAGATGAGTGCTATATTAATTATAGCTCTATTCTTGGTGAGGTGGAATTCTGTAGCACAAAACACCTGGGGCACCAGCGGTCCATAACGCGAGGTAGTATGCAAGGTCTTTCAGGCATGGTCACGGCCGCGTCGCCGTCTCAACTCCCTTAGTAAAAATGGTAATTGTTTTTGCTTCCGCACGTTTCACTAGGGTGGTACGGTGTCGTACTTCGCTCTCCGATAGAAACATCTGATGGGGCGCCACAGTTTGACATAGAGACCATCGGACAACGGGTATGAAGTTCATTGGTGGCAGAGAGCCCTTGAGAGCAGATTAAATTGGATAATGAGAAGGGGTAATTGATCTCGATAACAGACTGTGCTGAAGCGACGTGCGACTTCCCCCATATTGGTCCAAAAAAGTTGACTGTGACGAAAGTTTGTTTAGATTTAGCAAAGGGAGATCTATCGACATAGCAGGGGAAGAAGGAATGCGTTTTAAAGAGGAAACCCCCAAAAAGGGCAAAATAGATTAAAGATAAAATGCGAGAAAAAGAGGAATGGCTTCGAAGCTCCCACTGTAATCAGTGAGGCACCGGGAATTGAGCCCGATGCGGGGGTCGAACCTAAGGGCTGATGTTAATCGATATGGCTTTCCTGTATTGAGGTATATGCACTTACCCGCAACCTTGAGATTAAGAGTCTCACGCTCTACCGATTGAGCTAACCGGGCAGTTGGATTGTTGGAGAAATTGTACCGTATTTTATTATATAAAGCCCTTCATTGAATTGTAAAAAAAAATTTTTGAATGACTCAACATCTGGTCAAATTTTCATTTGGAGCGTGCACAACCGACGAGAACCTCATGTTGTGGATATAGCGTGGTCCACTTCAGGTGGGTTAGCTGGTTAATCTTCGGCAACGCTGGCACTTATAGTATGGATTACCTTGCTTTTCATTGATGCTAATCTACTCGCGAGTCAAAGCTGGAGTAAACAAGCGAATTATATATGCATCGATCAAGTGCATGCCTAAGCTCATTTAGTGGATAACAATGAGTCCTGGGCTCTGGTTGATTAAGACACCCCCCAAGTTGGGCAATAGCACCTCGATGCGTCCAAAGCGCTTTGATAGTTGCGTTTGCAAAGCATATCAATTTTGGACAGCTTCCAAGTAGCTGGAGGCGGCATCCGCTTGTACGACTAAGATATGTTCCGGCTCTTATCTTTATAAGGTATCTAACTACCATAGTGAGCCAGCAGCGCTATTGACGTGTAGGTAGTTATCGACGACCTTACGCTGTCGCGGATGACGCGCTGAGCCATAGCACTGCCAATGCCCTTGAATCCTCTAGTGATAAGAGGCACCTCGCTTAGTGATTTTGGTGTGCCGGGGCCAAATAATATTCCATATGATGTTTCGAATGGTAGACTAGTGGTAAAATTCTTCAAACTGATAATAATATTGTAAATGGGTACCAAATCTTCACACGAGGAGTATGTAATTTCAAGAGATCTGAACTATTCAGCAAATTCGCGAATGTGGACGATATATAAAGTTAACTGGGAAATACGTCCGCATGAGGCGTATGCGTGTAGTATCTTACATAGCACCATATAGTATTCACGTTCGAATTCAAAACAAGAATGCTAAGCTTGGATACACAGTCTCCCCTACTCGCGAAAGTCGTATATTAGCGAGAGTATAAAACCAATTGCGCCGGTCTGAGCTTAGTGCCTGTAAATAGTTTTGATTTGAGGAAGCAACTGCTTAATTGTCGCTGTAAAGCCAAATATATACTACATGCTTGTTTCAAACTGGCAGCCATAAAGTTCTTTGGGAGATTCAGCAAAGGTTGATTTAGCAACTATAATTAGTAGCGTTACACAAACTGTTAAATTTATCACTGTTGGTGCGAGATTCATTGACTAATGCCGTGTTTTCTAACACATTGAGTTTAACAATTCTTTTACGGACTTGATGGAATATGTTGCCTCTAAAAAGATTTTCCCTTCACGTGCTCTTCAAAAATTACCTCTATACTGTCTGTTCCTCTTAGTATCCCGGATTGGGCTGAAACAAAATGCCATCTCCAAGATGAGTAATAACATAAAAAATAACACCAGAATTGTTGTTTTAAAGTGTGACTTTGGATATGGACTCTAAGTTGGTAGTTGTGGTAGTGGATGTGTCTCATTTATTTGTCCAATCGCCTTATCCGCCCCGCCCAGCTCGAGCTCCTATTTGCGACTTGAGTTAGTACCGTACTACGCCAATATGGTGAGCCCGAGCGTGAGGAGGATCCAAGCCCCCGTAAAATGCGCCCGAGCCTGTCAAGTATGAAGTGATAGTATCCCTATCACATCTCACTTCCGAGCTTTAAATACCAAATTAAAAGAAAGGCACGGCGCTTAGAAAGAGCTTTTATGTCTTGCGTTAAGGGAAGGCTTAAAAGGCTATAGAGTTCATTCACAACTTGGGAGAATAGTGCAGCCTTCTCTACACCGCCGTCCCTGGCCAACATAATGGATCTAATCAAGTTTGATATTTAGAGGCTATAAACAAGCATAGGTAGCTAAGTTGAATACTAGGAAGCGTACGACTGACGGGAGGGCGCTGAAAGAGCGGAAGTCACCCAAGACAAGCAGTAGTCAACGGAAAGCAGAGAATTCGTACCTTCACGGGATTACTATCCGCCATCGCTTGATTCCATATTAAAAAAAATTATATATCTTAATGTGGCCTGACGAATACTTGTACACTTGACCCCATATATTAGCTGTCATGGTTGAGACAGAAGTGACTGCCATACTGGTGATGGATATGGCAAGCAGTAAACCAAGGTCCATATCTGTGATTAGTAGCTGTGTAAATGTGCAAGTGCTCCAAATAACAACCTTAGGAACTCGGAGTGGATTAGTCACAATAGCGACCGGATGGCTATGATGGGATCGATTAGTGCCCATATAAGGAACCTGCCCAATAAAATGATGCAAGCGCGATCGTACGAAGTTGCTATTATAAATCATATTTTATAAGCCGAAAAAGTTGTAAATCGGATTACTACAAATATTATTAGCCTTCAGTATGATACTGGTTTGTATTTGGTAGTATTGCTTCTAATAAGGATCGGCAACAATGAAACAAGAGTTGAGGGCCAAAGAATATTAATACTGATCTATAATTATCACCTCCGTAGACTCATAACAACGTTCTGCGGATCACACCTCATTTGGCGAAACTGGAATCACCATTACTTTATCATTCTAAGTAAATAATCAAGACCTCTGCTTCGAAACTGCTTGAACCGCAATTGACTCTAAAATAAAGACAAGATTTTTCGGGCCAAAGATCGTGAAGAGACTTTAGCGCGTGCCCACGGGCATGCGAGGAAAGTCTACATTGAATGGACCAGTAGCTTAGTAATTAATGTTTTCGATATCACTCGGTCAGGGACGAAACACTATTAGATAATTAACGTAGAAGAACCCCTGATATGAGAAAAATGACAACACGCCGTGCTTACGGGTTAATTGGCGGTTGAGATGGAAACAGTAAAACGACATATGAATCAAGCTGAAGTTATCAACTCGGAAGCGATTACGTACTCTGTATTATAGCGGCAAGCCCGGTTCCGTGTCGGCTAGCGCAACTGCTGTGCTATGGTCCTCAATGGGCTGATGATTGTAGGGCGCTGCAGCACTAGCCGATCCGGCTCCGGACATCGGCTATTCCCCCTGCAACGTAGATGTATATATACAATTGCTTGGAACTGAGAAACTGCGAGATGGGCGAACATCAGTCGTTTAAATTTGCATCAAAGCTACTAAATGCACTACTATGCCTTCATCGAATCCCACCAATCCGTACGCCGAGGCTCACGCCGATCCGCAAAGCTGCGATGATGCGCGGCCGACGGCGATCCAAATCATCAAAGACGAGGGCCTTGTCAATAACATGGCCGGGAAGGTCATGCTTGTAACTGGAAGTACATCTGGTATTGGCACTGATACCGTTAGGGCGCTCCACTTGACTGGGGCCGATGTGTATATGCAAGCTCGGGACCTGAACAAAGCACAGGCCGTCCGAGAAGACATTCTCAGCACGAGTGAAGGAAAGGGGAAACTCGAGATTGTGCTGATGGATCTACAATCTTTCGAGTCTATCCGAGCTGGCGTGCGAAGCTTTCTAACAATGACCCAGAAGCTTAATGTTTTGGTCAACAACGCGGGTACGTCTTCATATATCCTAATTAGTCTCTGAGATATTGACAATATCCTGATCATTGCAGGAATCCGCAACACGCCGGAAGGCCGAACAGTAGATGGTTTCGAGACGCAGTTCGGCGTGAATCATCTTGCCCATTTCTTGCTGTTCCAGCTTCTTATGCCCACTCTTCTTTCGTCTAGCACGCCGTCGTTCAACTCTCGTGTGGTCAACGTGACGTCAGGCTCGCACAGGCGCAGCGGGATCGTCTTCGACAACCCCAACCTCGAGGGCACTTACGATCCCCCGATAGCCTATGCACAGAGCAAGACTGCGAATATATTGATGGCCAACCAAATTGAGCGCCTATACGGGGCTTCGGGCATTCATGGCTTATCTGTTCATCCGGGCTGCATCGTGACGAACCTTCAGAAGCACGAGATGCCTACTCAGGAAGTGCGGGATAATTATCTTAAGAACAACCCGCTGCTAAAGAAGGTCCTCAAAAGCTGCGCTCAGGGGGCTGCGACTCAAGTCTGGGCAGCTGTCGCCAAGGTCTGGGAGGGAAAGGGGGCTGTGTACCTTGAGGATTGTAGGCAGGGGCATGAGTGCGAGGAGCCTGATATACGGAATGGAGGTTATAAGGCCTTCGTTTTTGACGAGGAAGCGGAAATCAAGTTGTGGGACATGAGTTGCCAGATGATTGGGATTAAGTCGTAAACGCAAAGAACAGATCGGCACAGTTGGAAGCAAATATGAGTCTGCCTCTGTATTTTCTAAGCAATGGATCCGACATCGCATCAATCTAATGAGCTGCTTGATAAATAGAAGAATGGCCTTGCTTACTACGATATATCAATTACTGTGTGGTTTTCTAATTGTAGGAATGAGCTGGAGGGGACTTTCATCATTAATCGCGTTATTGCAACATTTAAGGCAATTTCCCAATCTTTCAGCATTCTCTTCGTACAAATTTCCACTTTTTACTCGAAGTATGAGATGGCCAGAGGGTTTAATGGCGAATCTCGTCGAAAGACTAATCGGCTATTAAGTTATCCTATATAATTCTATAAAAGCCCTCTTCACTGATTAACTGTAATTATAACTCGTGGTACCACGCATGAGCCAGGTATTAGCGCCGCGCTAACGTTACCATCCTGGTATACCTACAACCCCTTATAGGTACTGTAGTAGCCGGGGGCTGTTGCGATTGCTAGCCGATGACGGCCAAAGGGTATAGCACATTGGTAGGATGCTACCTCCCCGGAGATTAGGCTTGGCGACGCCGGAGCCGTATGAAATGGATGTCGTATAAAAGATTGCCATCCCTCCACCTCCTAGCAGGAAGTCGAGCGATTTATTTATTACCTTTGATACACCTTTAGCAAGCCCAGCTTGTCGTCTACTTTACCAACTTCAAACTTCCACATCCGACCTTGAGGGGGGAGAGTAAGGGAAATTTACAATGGGAAAAATATCGCCAAGCCTAGAGAAGACGCTCTCCGCCGCTAAGGAGAGCACCACTC